AAGTTTATTCATGTCAAACGTTATCTTCAGATCAGGCCAGCCTAGTATATCTAAAACTTTTTCTCTACTTGATAAGTACATGGATCCAGAAACCAGCAGAGCTGCACGATATTGAAGCTGGAAAAGCGGTTTCAATACTAGCTCAGGTTCACCTGAGTAGATAACACTGCCATATGTCAATAAAGAATATATAAGCGATTTATATAATTGATCAAGAACCGGCATTAAAAAAATACACTTAAATTCGCTTATAGCTCCCAGAATTAAGTTACATTTTCTGATGATAAAAGAAATATGATTTCTCCAAGAAAGCGATGAGGAGAACCACAGGTCTATGTGTTTATGTTCCTGAACGAGATCCAAGGTATAACCTCCCAACATTATTGACTCTACAGATAGTCTGACAGAGAAACTCATCGTTACACATTTTGGAAGTTTAGAGGTAAGAGCCATCTTAAGGACCACTGATAAATCTTAATCAAATCATCATTTAGGGTTGCGATTACAACTTGTGGGTCTGGATCACTACAATATAATAGAGTATCATCAGCAAACATATGTATCCTGCTTGATAAATTATTACCAATATCATCTATATAGATCAAGAAGAACAGCTGGCCTAAAATGCTTCCTTGGGGAATACCGCAGTTAATGGAGAGAGAGTCAGATGACTGACCCTCAACGATTGTTACTATTCTTCTATTATTTAAATAGCTTTCGATCCACCGCAGAAGCAGCCTTGACGCACCTTTCCTCTCAAGTTTATATAGAAGACCACGATGCCAGACCTTATCAAAGGCCTTTTTGAAGTCAAGAAAAACAACCTCAACGTCCTTGGAAGATGCGCGACCCCCATAGACTGAATGTACTAATTCTACTAATTGATGGACTGTTGAATGCTTTTTCCGGAATCCACTTTGGAAGACAGAGAGTAGTTTGTTTACAGATAAGTATTGATAAAGCCTTTTATAAACCATTCTTTCTAAGACCTTGGACAAAGCTGGTAACAATGTTATCGGACGATAATTATCAGGAATAGTGTGGTCACGACTTTTGAATAGAGCACTGATGTAGCCTGTTTTAAAGGAATCAGGAAACACACCACTTTCTAAAGAAGTACGACAAATGTGCGCAACATCCTCTGAGATTACTAAAGCTGATTCACGCAATAAGCGGTTGTTTACTCCAGGTGCAGATGCCTTATTAAGATCAAGCTTAGTGAGAATTTGTCCAATCTCTTGTGAAGAAACATGCAAAATATCTAGCTTTGTCTTCGCAAAAGGAAGAGAGTCGACTAAGATATCAATATTATAGTCAGAATGATCGCACATTTCACACAGGGTAGGTAACACTTTTATGTCCTTAACAAGATTACGATTCTTTGTAATCACTAAATCTAAACACGTTCTTGAAGTGAGTCGAGTTGGCTCATGCACATGTTGAAAAAGTCCTAAATTTTGTACAAAAGAAAAAAATTTATTACCTTCGGCTGTAGAGAGTTTCTCATTGCACCATTTTGAGCAATGCGCGTATAAAAATTCCATGTATGCTTCAAAAACGTCTAGATTGGATCCGCTCTATATGATAAAATGACTAAATATTCCCAGTAGCAGGTAAGGTAGCAACGAAAAACATAGTTTCAAAATTAGAGCTATCAAAATCGTTTAACCTTTTAACCAACACATCGTTGCGAAAGTAAATTAAACAACCACCATTTCTCCTTTCTCTATCTAAACGATACGATGTATAGTTTAGTACAGATATATCAAACTGTTTGGTCTCTATTAATCACCACTGGTTTCTCTTGTAAAGAAGAAGATCGGTATAATACTCTCCCGTTTCTTATGTATACATGGAATTTAGTGTCTTCGGATAAATGTTGACGCAGTTTACTAAATAAAGCCATTGCTCGTTTTGTACAGTCCTCAAATAAAAAATATTTACTATTTATTTATTTGTAGTTTTTTACGATTTTTCAATAATTTTTGACATGTTTCTCGTGAATAAAAACGGGCAATAACATCACGTTGTTGTACATTTTTCGCACCCGTAAAATGCGCAGCTTCAATATCATCATGTGTTATTATAACATCCATCATTTTTGCAATTTCAATTATCTTTGCTTTTGGATTTTCATCTTTGTGTACACCATTAAATCGAAGGTTATATGAACGCGATCGACGTTCAATATCATCGACTTTAATTACTATTTGTTCTAATTTTTCTTCTATTGTGTTTAAAATTGGGATAGTTAACAAAATTGAGTTATACCATCAATTGACTTTGATACATCACCTTGATTATCAGATAGTAATTGTTTAATATCGCGTATGATTGACTGATCTGTTGTTAAACAATCTTTAATCATTGATGATATATCAGGTAAATCAAGTGACATAAGTAATGATTTACCATCCCTTTTAACATTAATAAAACCAGGTTTTGGTATTCCGCTTGCTAGTGGTTGTGATGACATCACGAATAAAAGTACGTATGTATATAAGTATGTATGTGACAGAAAGAAGAGAAGGGAGAAATCAGAACATGGAGATAAACACGTCTTATCACTATGAAGAAAAGAAGAAGAATTGATTTGTTGTTCAAAACCAAAAAAACCTATCTGTGTTTTTGAAAGTCTGTACAATATTCTGCATGAAACGCATGAAAACATATCTCATGATGGCAGAGATAGCATGTTGGGAGAGCTGCTGTCTAACTATTCGTGGATTCCACGCAAATCGATCGAAATATTCAACAAACTTATGATCTTCTCGACGAGTTGATAGCACTTTGCGACTCTATCGAAACAACTTCTCAAATGACTCTCTCAACTCCTTCTACAGCTTTCAATATTTCTTCAGCTTCCACAATAAACTCAATTCATTCCTCTTCACAATTGCCACATCATGATTCGATAAGAAAGAAGGCCACTGGAAACTATGTTACTACTGTCAATAAAAAGTGAAAACTTTGCGATGATCATTTAGCAACCTTAGCTGAACGCCTGAAACTTAGTGATTGTGTTGGTATAAAAATTCACGAGGTTGATCGTAGTAATACAGATCCAAAAATCTTACCATGTTTGATTGTTTGAAAAGAGAAAAAACATGAAGATTGTGGAAGCTGAAGAAATATTGAAAGCTGTAGAAGGAGTTGAGA